AGAAAGCTTGATAATAAGTTTCCCCACTTTATAAATTTTATAAGATTAAATCATTAGCAGCAGATTGATAAACTGTAGTTTCATTCCCTCTCCTTCATTGTCTGAGTTCCTCTTTGAAAAATTATGATTGTCATAAAAAATCTAATGTATCACTGGGAAATAATGGCAGTTATGCACTCTGTATTGGTAGTCTCTACTATACATGAACATACAGAGATCAGTTTTGACTGTCTAGTGCATAACGTGCAGCTTATACCATGAGAAATGGTAACGAGTTTAAAGAAATGGCCACTTACAAGAAAGAGGATGTGATAGAAATCACATGTAAAAGAGAAACTGGCATTGGAGATGAGCAGACAGAGAAGAGCAGGCCTCTGAGGCAGGCAGGCACTGATTAATCCTGTAATCCTTTCACTCAGCAAAGAGGCTCAAGCAAATACTTTCTGCCATCCTTAAGAACGTATCTCCAGCAACAGACTCTCCCTGTATTGTTCTACATTTATCTGTTAAAGTGTTCTCAAAACACAATGTGATAAGGCCCTGTTTTCAAGCAGGCATAAATGAAATAAGATAAAAATAAGCTCCTAAATAGTCGCTCACTGCTCCTTGTGCTAACAGGCAACTCCTGTTGGTTTCGATGGGAGTCCCAAGCACTGGTAGAGCAACTGGAAAGACTGTACACAGAGGAAATGACCTTTTCTTCACCACCTTTCATGACCTCACCAGTCCTTTTGTGTGGACAACAAGAATTGACTTTGTTAAAGAAATCCATGCCTGCTCACAACGCCATTCAGCCAGCTCCTCTGGCGATGTCTGGCACTGCTGTATGGCCAGTTTGCAGCCCCTGTACCAGACTGGTTCAGTTCAAACCTGCCAGGCTTCAGCAGATCCAGTTATGACATTTTGGAGACAAACACAGCCACATTTTAATAATTTTGAAAATGGGACTGCACAAGAAGTTCTGCTGAAATGTTTACTACTGTCTTATTGGGGTCAGAGAATGTTTGACAAGGCTCCTGAAATTTTTTTTAAATTTTGTTTCAACTTATTTTAATAATTAAATAAGTGACAGAAACATCAGTGTGAAATATCAGTTGTGGGATTGTTTTTGTTCCCCTGGGTATTAATCACTAGTTAGATAAACCCTAAGGAATAAAGGATACATACCTTTCCCAGGAAGAGAATGAGAAGAAGTTTTGACAGAAGCACAGTTTAGAAATACTTTTCAGAATACCAACCTATAGGACTTCAAGCTGAGAAAGACATTTTCAGGCAGTTGTCATGATGGTGATAAGATATGTCATTGACCTCCAAAATGGGAGTTCAAGTTACCAAATTTTCTGACTTCTGTCTTGAATGAAATTCAAGAGAAACTAGACCCCAATTAGAGATAAATCCTACTCAGGCAGAAAGCATTATTGTTTGGGCTGTCATCCTGGCTGATGGATTTTCTCACTTGCAAGAGCTGTGTTTCATCAGTTAGTTTAATTCTTCCAGTGATAACTCACTTTTTAATGGTGTTATATTTTCTTTTGAGTCACTGACTGTTTCTCCTTGATTTCTAACTTATTTCTTTTGCTTAAAATTAAAAACATCTTGCTTCCTGCTAGGACTGATTTTGGCTGCATATATTTAATAGACAGTACATAAGAAACAGACAGTACATATCATATCAGTATACGTCCCACCACTTTCTTATTTGGGGTGTTACACTTATTATTTCCTCCTATTCAGACCAAACAACCCTCCTTACCTCTTCTTGTTTTCCACAGAAAGAAAGAAAGTGATGAATGATGCAAGGCCTTGCCAGTGACAGAATTTTTCCATATGGAAATGCCATCACATTCCAGTGCTTTCTAAGCTACAAGGTAACATTTTCAAAGCCACACACAGAATTTAGCCACGCATTTCCCATATTTTATAAGTTAAATGAGTTTTTAAAAGATCATAGTGATGGATATACCCCTTATGAAGTCCAAGTTTTCATTTAACATTACTTGATTTTCTTTATTCAAAAGCTTACAAATTCTGGAGAACAGCTTCTACTGATATGGGAATTTGAAGTATCTTTTTGTCTATATCTTCCTGATTATCTTTAGTTGAGATCGCATCCACAAATAATAAAATAATTATGCAGTGCTTAATCTATTAGAATTAGTTCTTTTTAAACAATTTATATTATTTGAAACTGGTAGATAAAAGTATAATCTAAGATCTCTCTTATATTGGAGGCCGGCTGACTTTGTAACCTTGATAAATAGAGATGTGTACTGAGCAGTCCATCCTAGTATTTATTATTGGTCTTGAACCTGGTGCCAAGCACAAACTTTAATCCAAACTGAAATGTTGTGAGACTTCAGGGAAATTTTGCCTGGAGTTCATTATGAACAAGTCCCAAAGGAACATCATGAAAGGAAACGGATGTGAGAAAAATGAAAAGTGTTTTCCAAATTCCCATCACTACTGGTTAAAATTGTATATGTTCCTGATATCCATGCACACAAGTACTCTGAACTTCCCTACTTTTACTACTGAACTCCTGCATCACTGTGCTTACACAGGTGATTATTATTTACTTTCAATTCCCAAAAGAAAGAAGGATTTTAAAAATAAAAATAGATCTCTCAGCCAGCTTTTGCCCCTACACAAGAACACTGGCTGCATGAAGCATCATGAAAGGTTACCATAAAAGCTAAAAACAAACAAGGATTACTCGAAAATGTAATTGCTCAATATACCCAGAACTGCCAGCAGCAGTTTCCTCTTTAGGCTATTGACTTCATAACCTTACCCAACCCTTCAGAAATTTCCTGGACAACAAGACTTTTCGGAAGCTTTGTGAAAAAAAAAAAAAAAATGTAAAAAAAGCATTGGTTTTCATCAGTTTCCCTAAGACTGAATCACTTCATAAGAACTCAGACTAAACAACTGTAAAAACTACTGAAAGTAAACCAGTTTATCCCTGTAGAGCAATAAAGGCAAAGAAGCAGACAGAAAAGCTTGTTGGAAATAACCTCTTTAGACTATCAAATTGAAGGAAGATACAGAAATTTGTGGAATATCTGGTTTTCTTTGTTGGAAGAAAAGATATTGAAAAGCTTTTACTTTTTTAAAAATTATTTTTTATTTTAGGTAAAGGTTTCAGACCCACCCAGTATAAAATACAAAGTAAGTAGGTGAAAGATTTCAGCCTGAGAGGGTTAATTCTCTATGAAAGTTTGGGTAATGACTATTCTTTTCCTAATTGAGTACTATATTTACAGTTATGAGTATTTGAACTTTTAAAGTGATTCTCGATGTAAAAGCATAAAGTAAATTTTAAAAAAGTGTATTCAAATCAGAGAGGGAAGATATTTTGTGAGAATATGTTGGCTCTGCATTTAATGCTGTTAGCCTAGTCCTGTCCTTGGTGATGACCTTGGAGGGATTACTTACATTACTTATATGAACAATGCCTGTAAGTATGAGCACTATTGGACTATGTGTCTTTAACAGAGACCCATCTCACTCCTAGTTATAGTTAGTGATTAATATTTCAAGGAGAGACAGAAATTAAAAAATTTACATCCAGAAGATTGTTAAGATGAGAAAATTGGGCTCCCATTTAAGTAAAGGTGCCGTTATATTTTTGTTTACATAGAAACATGGGCAGCTTGTCTGGCTGTAATCTATTTCAGAGCTGTAAGGCACACAATACAAAACATAGCCATAATTTCAGACCTAGGTTTTATGAGATTTGCTTTATGATGGTATGATGATCCAGTCTGTATGGTATAGGACACAGAGGTTACCTTCTATTTAAAAAGTTTAAGTTACTTTTAGAAGTTTTCTCATCCTTTAATGAAAACTGGCGGCTCACATTTAAATAACTCACAGGTTCTTTCCAGGGGTCAAGACTGCAAATTCAAACAACTGAAATCTGACTTCTAAGAAAAAAAAATTTATCACATAAAATTTGCCATTAGAAATGGTTGTATCCCAAAATGTCTATGCCAGCATTATTTTGTTTCAGCAGAGGCTTGCAGACCTTCAGTCATGGAAGAGGCCTATATTGCATGCATAGGCATGCAATAAAAAATGCATCATCCTATGGTACTCAAATTAAGACTAAGTTTCTTTTTTGGTCTTTTTCTATTTTAGTAGGCTATTGGAGAGATTACAGAAGAGCCAATAACTCACTAGTGTGCTTCATGAAGAGCTGAGAAGCAGATGATGCAGAACTTCCTTCTCTTTCACAGCGTTATCTGTGTTGATGCTGACCTAAAACAGCATCAAGCCAGGCCTTGGATCCCTACTCAAAGTCACATACGAGCACAAGCAGAAACATTCACTTTCAACCAAGTTTTCCTGATTGCTTTTCCAGTTTTCTTTTCTTTTTCGTTTCCATACTGGAGTTTAATAACTTATTTCGCTTGAGAGAAAAGTTAGGATCTTTCTAAGGGAAGAAAATAGTAATTAAAATAAACATAAGACAAGAACCTCCCAGCAACTTTCAAACAGAACTAAAGTTAAATTTGTGCATTTCCATTAAAAGTGCATGTCCTTTTCTGACTCACTCTGGGTTTAACAGTTACAAACAGTTAGGTATGTTTAGAAGATTTTAAAGGAGATCACTTAAGAGAGTCAAGTCCTGTACTCATTTTTTCTAGGATTTTCATTTTAACAAATATTTGACATTGTGGTTTGAGAACACAAAGCAATTTCTTCCTGGTATTTCACATGACAGACAGAGCTAATCTCTTTCTGACTTCTCATTCCTCTCCCGACAGTGGGGATGGCTGCAGAACCATCAACCTCGGGGAGTGCTGATTGAGCTACAATAGGTGCTGCTCTTTAAAACAAATTTTGTTTTTCTTTAAACCTTAAGGTCTTTTTCTTCTGCCTCTGCCTTGATAGCCTATTGCAAACTTCCTGTCTACCTGCCACAGGCATTTGATTATAGCTTTTCCACCCATCCAAAGTATAATGAAATTCCTGCCCTGAAAGCCGGGGGTTGTGAGATGAAGGAAGAAAACAAGCTCTTGTTTTCCTGCCTGGAAGTGGCTGCAGCCAAAACTAACACAGATTCCTCTGGTGCCACGTCTGTCACCAGCAGTCACGCTCCTTCCGACGCCGCGCTCACCGCCTCACTTTTTTATTTCGAACAGGGGGCTCCTCAACCAGTGCAGCAACAGATGAAGTCAGAGGGGCAGCGGTGGCCGCAGGAGGTCGGGGAGGGCTCTCCTGGCAGACCAGGTTGGACATGAACAAACAGGAGCAAACAGATGTTACACAACCCTAATTTTTCTAAAATAATTTTAGTGACACAGGGGAACTTTGGCAGTCCTAAGGCATTTAATCAGTCAACCTTTCTATAAACAAATATGTAATTTAATTTTAAATGTCATTTCATTCCAGGGTTCAGTTTCAGGTTGCTCTCACACAGGCCTCTTCCTTGGGGAGAGTTGTTTAAGGATGATTTCTGAAAACACAAGAAGCAAAAGAGAGCAAAAAGTTCACTGGATCCCAAAAAGTACGGTCCTGTTTTGAATAGCAAACCCTGAACTGGAGGAGGACCAGGACCTTCTTTTAACAGTGATGGATGGAATGGTAAGCCTTGTTCTATTAGGTATAAATTAGGTAATTAGGTAAAAGATTCCCTGCAAACCCCTTGTTTAGCCAGGAAATTAATTTTCTGTCATTTTACAGTTCTCCATTACAGACCCTAAAATTTTTGCAGATTTGAATTACAAAACCTGGCAGAGCACAATAAAGCGCTGTAACTGGAATAAAATGCCTTCAAATATGGAAGAGCAAATGCTGGTATGGAAGTGGAGGAGGCGTAGTCCTTCTCTCACTCATATAAAACAGACCAGTTCCTTCTGAGAGGATTTCAGCTCATAGGCCCAGTGTTAGAAACGCAAGGCTTTGTACTGATACATGTCCTTTTTTCTTCCAGTTCAAGGGCATCACAAAGACTGAATGGGTTTGGTTTCCTCAGCCAGGAATTCCTACAATGTACACTATTATCTGCTGAGTCATGAGCATCCTCGTTTTCCCTTTACTTGCCTTTTGGAATGGAATTTCCTTTTGGGCAACTAGAAACAGGGCACGGAAGCTGAGATCTGATACACAAACCCCTTAGGGTCAGCAGGCAGTTTGTGTCTGTACATGGCACCTGGCTGCAACTGTCCCCAGAGCATTCATTCTCCATAGGTTAAATTATCTTATAATGCAAAGGGAGTTTCCACCAGGCAAAGTTAGAAAATAATAATAAATACAAAAACGGCTAGAGTGCAACTGGTTTTCAGGCACACTTCAGGCATGTCCCAAAGAGGAGCAAATGCATTTTCTAGTCATTTGAACAACTTAATCCAAGAAAGGAAAAAAAAATATCTGCCACCTCTATTTCTGTTAGTGCTTTGTTTGTAAGTTTTTATACCACTAACATGTTACGTATGACCTCATTCTTTCACCAAGGGGTCAACACATAAATGCAATTATATTTTACAGCTTCCCTAGATATACAGTGTGACTCAATATTGCTTCATAATCAATTCTTTTGGCAAAATTAACAGAGATTCAGGCAAGATTTAAGGATACTATAATCAGGTCCATAGCTGTGGGTGGAAAGGAAGGAAGTTTGAAGATATTTTTAACATATTGTGCTAACTTGAAGTTGTTGCGAGTACAATACTCTTGCTACAGTTATGTTTGACTTGGAGCTGAGCAGATTAAAAGTCATATCCCTGGATATTGGTCAGTGCAATTAATCCCCTCAAATAGAGGATCATGTAGTATTAGTTTCCAGAATATTTTTTCTAGCAATTCTAGGGAGGTTCAAAGTCTACATTTAACTTGAAGGAGTAGGCTTATTTGAAGTTTACTTGAATTAGGCAAAGGTTGTGCAAATTAATGTGGGCTAGAAACTTGTAGGAATAGCCTTTCATTATCTCTGCAGAATTTATGCCACATTTCTCTGCCACAGTTACAGTATGTCTTTGTTAAGGTTTTACAGGGTAACAAATTATGTTCTTAATCTAAGGGTGGAAATGAAACAAGGTGTAAAGAATATGATTAAAAAAAATAGATTTGAAACCCAAATTATGCCCATCCATAATCTCAAAGGGTATTTAAAGTCATAAAATTGTCATCATCTAGTATAACGATGTATCCCTAGGTGTAATCAGAATGAAAACTTGCATTTACTATTCTGTCTGTATGTTAATCTGGTTAGTGTAACAAACCAATTTGAGAGACTAAACTAGATTTTCCTCTGACTTCTATTCCATCCAGAGAATTAGTTTAACAGCGTAACCATACTTACCAACACTTTAAACTTGGAGGTGTTTCTGTTTCATGCTCTAATGATGGCGTCTGAGCCAAAAATACCACCTTACTCCAGTCCTTGTAGGATTTGGTGAGAGGCTGAATGAGGAACTTCCCATATTAGCAAACAGTTTGAATGTGAAGCCGCAGACATAGGACTCCACTGCCATATTTTGGAATCCATTCAGGTGTCCCCTTCTACACAGTACCCAAAATATCAGAGCCATTCCCCTTCAGGGTATTGCCCTATAGTGTATGTACTAGAAACTTCCTGAGCTAGAAATATAAGCTCAGTCTGAAACGATGCTTTTTTTCTCATTATAGGAAGGAACCTATAGACATTCAATAGAGCATTATAATAAATCCCTCACATATCGTGCATGTATCAATCTAGTCTATTGGAAAAAAAAAAAAAAAAAAAAAAAAGGAGTAATTTATTATGTATACATAGAAAAGCATGTTTATACATGCATTTAATTTTTTCCAGTTATTTTCAATTTCAAGCCATCAAAGATAGATGCATCTAAACAAAGATATTTTTTTTTCTTTTCTCTTTCTTTCTTTTTTTTTTTTTTTGTAATGGAAGTAGTGGTGTCTTTCCTGTCCAAAATGAATTCCTAGTTCTTAGGAAACCTCTGATGGAAAAAGAAGGAGACAGATTTCTGCTACTTTGGGATAGCAGCAGGTTTGCTAAAAAATAAAGTACCAGAATGTTAGACTGAGTATGTGTTTGGAAAGGACATTACTAGCTTAGAAAGAGGTCATGTTAAAAACAACAACAACAACAAAAAATTTACACATTTTACCATTAATACTCGTTTTGCTCTTAGTCTCAGTCCTCATTTTTATTTTTATTTTTTAAATTCTGAATAGGAATGTATGTAATTGTTGCAGATCAAATGCAATTAATGCTAATACTTTTCTTGTTACATCTCTAAAAACCAAGCATCAGACTCCTCTTAAATGCACAAATGTGAGAGGGCCCTTTTCCCTAGGGGAGCAAAAAGCAGAGCCAGTCCATATTAGCTATGAATCCATTCTGGCACGAAGTTGGACCATTTCACTCTGGACATTTCTTCCTAGCTCAAGTAATAAAGGCAGGTCTGGAAATTCAATTACTGTCTCTTGTCTGAAATCTTTTAAAGAACTTAAAAAAAGTCTCAACTAGAGAAAGAGACCCACAAAACATATTTTAAAAGTTTTATATTCAAAGTTTATACTTGTATACTTACTGTTTAGAGTTCAGAGTTTAAGTGATGTGATTCCCAACATAAATGCACTATATATTATGACTGTTAAGTCAATTACTGGTTTTTTTTGTTGTGGTTTTTTTTTTCTGGCTACACCACCAGGGAAAAAATGTATAGGTTTTCTGCATTCTGTTTGCAGCTCTGGTACTGACTTGTGTCTCAGTGCAAAAGGCAATGGAAACAGCTATGTTTACCAAAAGGACAAAAAAAAAGAAAAAAAAATTGTTAAGAACAGGGAGAGATATACATTATTTCAGAAAATTAGTTTCGCTTTTATTCTTTCTAAAATGAGACTGAAGGTGTGTGGCAAGAACAGGTGTAGAAATGCAGGTTTTTTAAATGGGTATGGAAGGCCAGTTTCAAATCACAGCGGGGAAAGCTATCAAGATTGAGGTGCTTGCTCAGTCTAAACAAATAGGAACGTTTTAAAGATGGAGTATTTGCAGTAGCCATTTCAACCTGGAGAAAGGTCACTAGACAAATAAATTCAAAGAATTATGCTGCGCGCAGAAAATGCAGGAAGAGCAAATGAAGGAAAATTCACTGTATAAATAAATCTCTCTGACTGATATTTGTTAAACATCTGAAGGTGCTTTGGTAAAGCATTCTGTGCTGGGGAAAATAATTTATCATATAGATAGAATGATTCTATAATTTTTACTTAGACTTTGCAATGAGAAGATGCAATATGAATCAAATACAAGGATGCAAGTTAGTTCCCATAAGCTACCCACAGCTGTGACTCTAGTGATTAGACTATTTACGTGTGTAGGTAATTAGCCAGCCACACAGGATCCACTGTTCAGTGGTGCCACTGTGATTTGTTGATTAAGAAGGACTTGCCACTCCGGTATTTTCTTACTAGTTTTCTTTTTAGGGCCACTGAATTTCAAACCAGAGACTTCCTAAATAACTCCCATATACTTTTCAAAATGAAGCGGGAACAATGTCAGCGCTTCTTCTGCCAAACTGTAGGAGTCATCACACCTTCACCTCAAATCAGCGATCACAGGTAAAGCCAGTTTAGAATATTCTGCTACCAAATGTTATAAGGGGAGCACCAGTTTTAGCAAGATTTATGAAGAAGGAAATCTTAGAAAAGAACGTGCATTTTTGTCATGAGAAACTCCAGGTCCAGGCCCCTCTGCTGGGAAGGAAAACATGCAAGTTCAGGTCTGTTGAGTTACAGCAGAGAACCTGTACCCATGTCTCTGAGATTACAGGAAGTTTCCAGATCCTTAGCTTACAAATTCCTGCAAAATCTGGCGTTTCAAAAACCAGTCTCTAGAAAACCCAGGCTTAGGACAGGACACCTGAAGATTTGTAAAACAAGAACAAAGACAAATAAAACCAGACACTCCAAGAAGGACAAGTGCATGGGTCACCTTCTGATTATTTCTATTCCTAGGGTTATTCATATGGATGCTTGAGTAGTAATAATTATAGACAGACATTAACCAGGCAAAGAAGCCTGTACTGTGTAGAAACAGTTGTTAATATTTACACAGAACAGCTCAATTTTAGAGAATTTTGGTTTTTAAGCAAAAGCTAGAAGACTCCTGATGACCTATAGGCGTAATAAGGTTATTTGCAGCAGTCCCTAGTGCCAGTGTTCCCACTACCAGCCTTCCTCACTAGAGAGGTTCATTACAGGATGCATTTTATACAAAGTAGATCATCTCACAATTCTGAATCTTGAGGATTCTTAAGGGCTTGAGAAGATATTAGAAAAATAACAGAAAACGCTTACAAAGTTGTTTAAACAAAATTTAAAAATAATAAAAAAGTATTCTGTTCTATTTTTAAATTGCATTACACAATAGACAGGATCTTGAGATCCTAGCTATTTTTTAGCTCATATGAACCAGAAAGAAAATCTTCTATAAACGTATCCAAGTGTTGTCCACTTTTATGGCCTCAAGAGGCTTAGTGCTGAATCCTGCCATACGGCCATTCAATCCATTCTCCCTGTTTTGACTGGTGTTCAGGCTGGCACACACATACCCTGATAATATCCTCCAACAGTTTGCA